TGGCTGCCAACCAATGTCAGTGGCGTTCTTGTTGTCAGTTTTTGTCCAGATTGCCTGAGTGACTGTCTGGAGGGGTAGGCATCTCGGAATGATTGTGGTAAGCTAGCACCAAGTCTCTCCCCCGTCCACCTTTACTCTTTTCTTTACCATGAGGCTTTCATATAAAACTCATGGTTGTACAGCAGTTAAGCATCGGTGTCGAACACTGATGTAATGCCATCGATGATGATGATGATGATGACCTTCGAGACATTCTAGTGGCTCCCTCAGACAAAGGTTTTCTCTCTCTGAAGAGGGAGATGGTAGTACACCGTCGATGCTTGAGCACAGGGTTTGATCCATATCAGTCTAACACTGGTGGCCCATATGAGCGAGTTAACAGTCTGGCAATAAGAAACCGCTTTTAACCCAGTCGGGGAGGAGGCAATCGGTGCACAGATTTGGGCGGTGTCAGCAATGAAAAACAATAGAATACTCGAATTAATACATTTCCATTTATGAACATTGGTCACTCATATAGCAAGTCGGGAAGTGTATTCTGGAAGTAATACACGGTTGATTTATGTAATTACGTGTTGCCAAGTCGCGCAAGTATAACTAATCTAGCTGCACACATGTCGTGGTCTACGGCTGTAAGAAACATTCGGTCGAAAGAGCGCAATAGAGGAAGGACTCATCAGTTACATGGATGAGCAAGAGAACCGTTATCGACTGGGTCTACATATAAAACAGTAAGTTTGAAGAAGATTAACTGAAGAAGCTGTTACAGGCTCTCAGTCACAAACGTCCTTTCCCGAAAGACACTTCCCTACACAAAGCCATTCGTAAAAGTGTTCACGGCGTTTTACAAACAAAAGAGACTGGATGCTACTGAAGTCCTTGTAAATGGATGGCTCTATCTGTTCCCTTCTTTAGGGAATAAGCCATCAAGCAGTGCTTGGGGAGACAAATGAGTGGACATGTAATTATGGCCTGTTTATGCCACCGGTGACCCCAAAAACACCCTGGAATATTGGTGGTCATATCGAAACCTCTATGAATAACCGTGGGCAGTTAGACAATGCTATAGCAAGTGGACCATTTGCGAGTAGAAGGCATACCACTGAACGAAGTACGAGCAAGGTAGTGATGATGAGCTGCCCACTGCTCAACGAAACTGATTGTTGATTTTCTCGGTTGTTTACTATCACCCACTAACTCGCTTACTACTCAATTAAAACGGTTCCAAAGTGCATTATTATTAGCGAATATACACTCATTTTCAAACTAATTTGGTTTTTCGAGAGACTCACCTGGAACCCAGCTAAATCTCTCGTTTATGCTGTTCTCAGGCTAGGCCATGAAAAGGAAATCAGTGAACTGTCCCACCGTGTTCGGTAGTTACTGACTCAATTACCGAAACTTTTCAGTAATGACAGCATAAGCAGAGGTTCCTCTTAGTTCAACCTTGAATAGACAACGCATTATGTTTATCTGTGTTCTGTGAATTAGGACTGGCTGATATCACTCATACTTGGCATAAACAGACTTCAAAAAATAACGTTTTTCGCAGTGCCTGGAGAGCAGGCTTATTAAAAAAGTGAATTAATTCCAAACAAACGCCCTAGCATATGCTAAAAGATCTCAACATGGGATGTTTTATGCGCATGTTGCTTTACTAAGTTGGCTAAAAGGAAAGAAATTACGAAGGTGACTTGTGACGTAAAAAAATTCACGCTGTGTAGAGTTTATCCGTTTTCAGAGTTATGTTGCCCACTGGGCCAGCAGCAGACAAGCTTAAGTAGCGATTTTTGGAAGATGACGTACCACACAGGCGGGACACTTGTCCATTGTCCCCACATCTTTGAGGTCATCTGGACACTTGTCGCACACGTAGCACGTCAAAGGTCTCACTAAAACAGTCGTTAAACTAGCGAATAGGCAGCACAAACTCACCTTCACTCATGATGACGAACAATGTTGTCACAACCAAATGAAAGTGCGTGCTCATCGTAGTAGAAATCCAATGAGTTTAAAAGATTCATATGACGGTACACTGGGTAATGGGGCGCTTATTTATATCGAGGCGAATCCAGTTATTAAAATGACTCACCGTGATGCACAAGCACAAACGTTACTTTATTCATGTTATAGAGAAATGTGCACCTAATCAGTGAATAGAAACTGTGCAGGATTTTTTTCAGCCAGGCTATGTAACTCCCAACACTGCATCACACCAAAACCAGGTCGTATGGTTTAGCTAGCGCTAATCTGCGTAGATTCTAGCATATGTCAAACCAGTTCAGGATGTCAATCAGCTTCATACGTGCGGCATGGGGTTCATTACGATGTATCATATCACCCAACACAACATCCCACTTCACAGACTGAAAGTCATGGAATAGGTCCACAAGTTCTCATGTCCCACGCCGTTTGAAATCATACAGCCCCAAAGTAAACATAACAACCTATCAATTTATAAATCATTACGTGTTGAAAGATCTTCACCCGTTTTTTGTCGGGTTATTTCACACCGTATAAAAAGGTAAAACTGGAGCAGCAATTTGTTTACGTGAAAAGGTCGCAGTTTCATCGAGATTGCGAGGAAAACATGTCATAGAGTCAGAGTGAAACAGCATTCTAGCAAAATGCCTGACAGATTGTCGAACGTTTGGTGAAATCCTACAACCAAAATTCCCGGTCGCGGATGACTGGTCGCCGAATAGCCAGTATCCCTGGCCCTTCATATGATTCGTGAGACCGCGGACTGGTGAAGTCGACGCCCGAAACCCTGTCTCCAGTTGGTCAGAAAATGGATATTCCAGTCTACTACCTTCCAGTAACCGTCTAGCGTCATTTGTTAACGGTGCTCTCACAATTCCAGAATGTCTCTGCGGTTATGTATAGAGTATGGTTTTACACAGTGTGCTTTTGGAGAGGCTAGCTTTGCAGGACCAGACTGATGACTTACCTGAGACGTTTCAGACAAGGCATGACGTTATTCCTTCGTTGGGACGATGGCAGTGGGAAACGAACAAAGGCCAGTGACACACTGAGCATCCAAACCTACCTAAACGGATTACCTCTATAAACTGTATACGAAGGAGTTAATACGCCCGGACGATAATTCCTGCCACTGACGTTTGATGTTAGATAGACTCGATGATAAACAGCGCAGTATGATACTTTGCGACCAAGGTACGTTTTACTGAATACCCTCATGTTCACAACCAAAACCTTCGATAAGTTTTGCCAGCATAGCGTGCCCCACAACCACGGGGTAGCTGGTACTTTCGTGATGTCATCATTCGTATTGTAGCTAGTGCAAGCTTTCATGTTTGGGGAGTTGCCTAGTTCAGAGAAGTTTCCGATAGGCGAACACATCACCACATGGTTCCAATGAAAACATCTGTGAATGATGTACAGTTTCACACGGTGAGATCTTGTAGATATCTCTACTGGCGAGCACATAAATGAAAGATTCCTGCTGTTGAATAATTCCACAGTGTGTGAGTTAACGGATTAACTGTGGAGTTGAAATATGGATGAACATATATTTAAAACCACTTTCGGGGGGTAAATGTTAGATTCTACCATCAAATGGTTGGATGTTTGGACAGTAGACAAATCATCAGCACTGCCTTGGTCGTACGTTGTCTAATCGTTTATCTGCTTCCGGCAAGTGGTCCATTTTTTAATGCATCGCCCACATAACGCATGAACTACGGTCATCCCGAGCGGTCTTAGCAGAGCTGCCACCATGACAAGGATGAGAGACTAGCAGACCAGCTCAAAAAATACCTGCTGGGGTGGCCAATAAGGATGGAGTTCCAGTTAGGTTCAAATGACCCCTGAAAACTTGTCAATAGCATCTGATTTATTCGTGTATAAAATGCCCCAAATTCTTTTCAGAATGAAGTTGGATACATCAGTTTCCTTCGTACAACTTCATTTTTGCTAAAGAGTCGGGAGCAGTTTCTTCATCTTACTGGCCTGCGAGTAGATCCAGTCAATAACAGGTCTTTTGAACTGCCGGGTAGCTAACGAGGTTCATTTGAGTGAGTTACATTAGTAGAGCAGAATATGCTTGTGGCTTGTACGTCTACGATTGGTCAAACAACGAGCGGTCACGTGAATCAGCCTTGTATACGTTCGTGTATATCCTTTCCACTTGCCCTATGAGTGACCGAAATTCATGAATGAAGTATACTGATTGGAGTGTTGCGCTGGCCTTCCTTGTTGATGTCATTCACAACAGTGCACCGATTGAGGAATTACAACTATCTACGTAAGGATGTCAACATGGTCCCACTGATTATAATTTAACAATGATCGTGGATGTTTTCCATTCTCGCCCGAATGGAGCATACATTCAAAACAAACGGCAAACTCGCTCGTACGGGGATCAAACCGAGTGTTCAGACGACGATGTTAGGGTACTGCCTTTCTTGACGGGCACGCCCATATGCGAGACGAGGTGAAATATCCCGAAGTGGATGCTGGTTTGGTGGGTGTTGCAGTGTGATAGGCTGGTACATCTTCCTAGGTGGTGACTAACCACCGGCAACGACCCAAATGGGTTGTTGATCCGTGAGTTAGCACAAAAATGGTTTTTCTGATATCATTATCCCAAATGTTTCTTCAATCAGAGTTTTCGTGTCATCCGACGCGTTGTGGGTGAATTCACGTCAAAAGAGCGCAAAGACATCACTTTATGGTTAATACATGGCCAGAGAGGCAATAACGAGTAGAATTTTTCCGGTTTAAAGTTTCTAAATGATGAAAAATTTATTTGATGTTTGCTTTTTCTGATTGATTCAGGATAGATTTGACTGCAAGACGTACTTGAAAACAGCCGGATCCTAAGTAACCCACCGTCTGACTACTGATGGGTAATCAGCGACGTGAACGACTCGCGCTCAGGGAGGCTTTGGCTTCACTCATCCTTCAGTAACAGAATTCACATCACATAGACAAGTTTTGGGTCCTCGAGCCGGATCCTAAGTAACCCACCGTCTGACTACTGATGGGTAATCAGCGACGTGAACGACTCGCGCTCAGGGAGGCTTTGGCTTCACTCATCCTTCAGTAACAGAATTCACATCACATAGACAAGTTTGGAATGGGTCCTCGAGCGGAGATTTCCCAAACTGACGAGATTTCAAGCAAAAATTTTCAAGCCCTTCTTTTGAAAACCAACAAAAAACATGGGTTTTATTTTGTAGCTCACTAGAATTTATCGTCTGCACTTTGTTCTATTCTTAATGAATGTCCATATTCACAACCCAATACCTGGTCAAACATATTGTCTTAGTTTGAGCACCCAGTTAAATTCCATGCATATCTTGTACTATGCGTGTACTGCTGCTCTCGCAACCTTCACAGGACTCGTGAACAAAATTCGACATCCCATTTATAGGACTGCCACAAGTGCGAAGTCATCCCACGTAGTCATAAACGAGATTTTGTAGAACAGATGAAGTTCCTTGGTTGCTTGATATTTTTCACGCTCATGAGACTCGACTAAGCCCCCTCCTGATTTTACGTCCACGGCTCCGCAATTGTGTGGTATCCCGGATCTAATGCACTCTATGACATGATTCACGTTCAAAAAACCGCTGATATGAATCCCACAATTACCTTCAGGACTGGCATGAGTCACAAAATATACTCATTTTCAAACTCAGCTGGATTGAGCTGACTTTCCCATTTGCGATATTCTTCAGCTGATTGTCCTAAAGAAACGCGTCTCGCCTCCGTTTGCTTTGCTACGCTATTCAAAATGCCTGCAGTATATTTTCTCAAAGAAAAGATTATCTTTAAAACGTCTTCGAAATGCCTTTACCTACCCATGATAAGTTTTCCCATTTTTGTGCTTCATTGAGCAGGCGCACCCCCCAGTTTTCACTCGATGTAACCATATGTCTCTGAACATTGTCCCAAGTGGTGCATCGTTTGTAATTTACAGACGCATTACATCATGATTACCAGACCTAATGCGTGTGGCCCGATTGACAGTGGTAAACCAATCTCAACGAGTTCATCCGGAACCTGTTTCCCCAAATTTTTACTGTTTGGCACACACATATGTGACGGCTATCCTGATCCTGCTTTCGATAAATTGCCCATTTTATTACATATCTGATGGGAAGGAATCGGTGAGTTCACCGAGCTTGGCAGTTGGATTGCCAAAGCGTCTTTTGTATTTCATGCCACGGTACATCTTGATCGACAAATCTAATCGCCTGAAGTAACGCAATCTCAAGGATTTTAGCAGAAAAATGTTTTCGCAAATTTGATCGCGCTACCATGTCTACATTTGAATGGAAAAGGCCCACAAGGACCCCCACTAGGAAGACTAAATCTAACAGCGAAAATCAGGTAATGATAAAATAATCAGGTGCCAAAACTACAGCTGGTTTTTAGATATCACTTCTTAGCTACACGAAACAAGCCACGAAGCCACAAATAAGCGATATGGAAGATGCTAAACTCCAGGAACTCGTGTGGCCTTTTGTAGGAAACGGAATTTCCAAAGGTTGGGTTGCGTTCTCAGCAGATGTCCCCATAGATTGGCCTTCTGTTCGGCTCAGCGTCTCCAGACCGCTTATATTCTTTTGTAGCAACCGTAAAAGAGTTGGCGATGGCCGTTTCACTGAGCGTAAGGCTGCATTATCTGCACAGATGCGCTCCTCGACTGACCCAAACACAGATCCATGTCACAACAAGCATGCACAGATCGGTTTTTACTGATCATTTTTATGCGCGAATTTGGGAACTGCGCATAGGACACGACTGTTTCCAAGTATATTAAGTCGTCAAATTTTTTTCCCAATCTATCAGGAAAGACAGACGTCAAGTGAATTATTCTCCAATTAGAAACCTTGACCAGGAAAATTCCCGCTTATTTCCGACTCTAAGGTTAGACATCAACCAAAACAAAATTTTGGGACACTTTGAGTTAAATTAATCCGCAACCCGTCGAATGACACAGAAAAATCTAGTCGGAAT